GAATAACATGTAGGTAAACAGGGAGGGAAAAAATCAATCCCATCTGCTCGTGCTGTCGAAACGCTTGAGGAGAAAGCATTTTTCCTCCCTTCAAAATATCATTTCATAACAATTATGATAAGAGTCTCTTATTCCCAATTTAAAATTGGAGCCCCAGCAGTAGTATTGGCAGCGTTCTGTGAACCGCGCTCATGTCTGATTGTAATCCAACAGCACCTTAACGTGATTCTTACCGCCAGAGGTCCAAATGGGTGGCTTGTAAACCCTGCTTTGTCAGCTTTGGATTTAGAGGCCAAAACAGGCTTTTCTGAAGGAATCTCTTTCTCCAATGGGACGAGGTGAGAGGACAGCGTTCTTGGGTTTGACGCTCACCTCTCCGCCACAAAGGTCGCGGCACGGCTCCAGTGCAGTCGGCTCACGTTCACAGGCTACTGTGTCGCCGCCGTTAAATGATTCTTATGGAATTTCAGCTCAATGCGCTATACACTGTGGGACATAGATGCTATAATAATGTCATGCAAAGGCATAGGTTTTGTCGGAGTATTGGTAGGGATCAAATCTGCCCCAATCTCCCCCACGCCCCCCCCCAAACGCACACAGTACACACACAGTACTGGCAGTGTCACGGCCCTGCTGTCCATACTCAAATCTACTCCCTTGATGCAATCACATTGCTACTGCATGTCGCTGTGTGACATAGACTGAAATACCTACATAAAGATGCTGACCTGTTTCATGTAAAATATGCTCTATCCCTGCACACCTCTGCAGACAGGAGGTCACATGATCACCCTAAGGTCAAAGGTGAAGGAAAACCTGGCCAATCGTGCGATTGTGATCCCGGGTATCTCATGATACAGCCAGCTAGCCTCAAACTCTCCTTTTTGTTTGTTTTTTAAAATGTTTTTTTTTCTCCACTTTTCCAGTGAGGTATGTGCATGTGCGGGGGGGGGGGCATGTATATATTACATTGTGGGGACTAGATATCCTGTCATTTTCACATTGTGTGGACCGTTTTTTGGTCCTCACAAGGGGAACCCAATTTTATAAAATTCGGTGACTTCAATAAAAAAAAACTAAAAATGCCAAAAGTCTTGTATTTTGTTTGGTTACTCATGGTTAAGGTTAGGGCTGGGTACGGGTGTGTGTGCACACGTGTGTGTGTGTGTGTGTGTGTGTGTGTATGTCTTGCAGACTTTAATGTAGTTGTATTTAGTTGAGAAATTGATCTGGAAGTTGAGTCAGACCCAGATGATGCTGGTGCTGCAGCACTGGCCAGTTTCCAGAACTTTCCTGCGTCCCCATTTCAAGGTCTGCATACAGTACACACCATCCACGGCCAAGCAAACCAGCAGAAAAACATTACAGATGCCTCTTGCATGATGTTTATCAGAATCCCAGTTCCCAGCCCTACAGACTGACCATTACAACCGACAAGGAGACCAAGGGAACAAGTCCAGACGATCCATCAATAGAAGCCGTTTCTGGATATCAGACACCAGTCCTCAGTTTGGGAAGCTTTGTGAGGGATGCAGCTCGTTCTTATGGACGCTCCTCACCACATGTGGCGTAAACAGTGGTTTTGCCTGTTGATGTCTGATCTCTGCTCACACGGTCACCTGTGTTACTGCCTGTCCTGGCCACACCCCCCCCCCCNTGTTATTTTGCGACAAAGATGTGTTAAAATGTGTACATTACTTTTTTTTTTTTAAAAAAAAGAAAAAGATGTGTGTGTATATATATATAGTATACATTTATTGAATTCCATTTTATACTTGGTATATTGTCATTTATTACAATCTGAATAAACAACAGTTTTCAGAATATTTTAAATTAAAATATATTAAATTAAAATTTAACCAAGGCTATATTGCTAAATGTATATGTCAAAACAATTTCTATTTGAGAGAATCAAACAAAATTAATGTCTGGCTAACTTTCTAACTCTCTAGATTATTAAAATGTAAAAAAATAAAATAAAATTAAAAAACAAAAATAACAAAAAATAGTGCAATTATGATGTTCTGAAATAATCATGTCCAGACAATACATGAATGCAGTTTTATTTAAAGGTAACAGCTGTCATCTTCAACAAATTGTCAGCATTCAACAAATGTGCAGTTGCATGCAAACAGAAAAACATGTTTCCATTTTGGCGAATATTATGGAAGCATATGTGTAGCAAAATTCAATTTGCAATGCAATATGCAAAATGGCAATACAATATGCAAAATGACAATGCAATGTAATGGCAATGTAATTCTGTAATGAAATTTACATTTTCCATCACCTCCATGCGTGCAAAATTTGGCGCAGAATGAAATTGCAAATTAAATTATATTATTTACATTTGCCATTTCCAACATGTAAATAATATAATTTAATTTGCAATTTCATTCTGCGCCAAATTTTGCACGCGTGGAGGTGATGGATAATGTTAATTTAAATACAGAATTACATTGCCATTTTGAATATTGCGTTGCCATTTTGAATATTGCATTGTCATTTTGCGTATTGTATTGCCATTTTGCATATTGCATTGCAAATTGAATTTTGCTACACATATGCTTCCATAGAATATAACATCCAAGTTACACAATTTTGTACCTTGGGTTCAAATACAGCGTATTATTTTCAAAGCTAGTCATTGTATATAAAGGCCGAAAATCAGAAATGTCAGCCAATGTAATCAGTTCATATTCGTTTGATCTTTCTACTGCATAGGCATAAAAATGGTCATCGAAGAACTTGACTTTTATAATCCTCACAAACATGAAGACAGACTCATTAACTGACTGCGGAAAGATATGAGTGACTTCACCAAACAAAGGCTCTTCTCTAAAGTCTCTTCTTAATGCTAATACAGAACCTGTTCTATACGTCTGGCCGTACACATCAATACTGTGGGACACAAAAATAGTAGTAGTCAGAGTAAGGTCTTGTTCAAGGGTTAACCTCAAGTTGTCCAACAAAACATCTGCTTTTTTCAATGACCCCAAACTAACTAGATAGGCATTGGACACATCCATTTTCTTAGCTAGATTACCACTATGCTTATAGTGATACATGTGTTGAACCTGATGTTTAAAAGCCAATGTTTTTGAGACATTTTTGAAGTTACAAACTGAATGTGCTAGTCTTTTAAATGGATTGTGCTTGGCTTCAAATCGCATGCACCAAAGTTTAGACAGAGGTCCAAACAAAACCATCATCCTTGGATAATGTACCATAAAATGATGTTTTGGAATAAGATTTGTAGCATACAGCTGCTTGAAAAGAGTATGGTGCTCTATTATCAGTTCTTTTAGGAATACTGCAAGCCCCCTTGTAACAACTGGTGCAAAGATGATACTGCATATTTCCCTCAGTAAAATCAATAAATGCCAATGTTGACTTTTTCGGTCTACACAATCTCCCAACAAAAAAAGGCAAGACCAGTAAAAGGCACCACATTTGAGATGCTGTCTGTTTTAACGCACTCTCACTGGTTCTCAAGTTCATTATAACACTTGGCTTGTTTTTAATGTCTCCATATCCGTATTGAAAACTGGAAATCCGCTCATTTAGCTGTTCCAAAGTCATCAGCTTCTCCTCATAAATGAAATGGCGAAGCATTAATTTAACCTCTAAAGGGGCTACACCTTCAAGTATATCATGCATGATATCAACACTTATGTTTTCTGTTACATGAAAATACTGAAGGTTATTCAGACAGGAGTCCTCTTTCACACCAGTTTTACTTGGTTCGTTTAGACTGACATGTTCCTGATAACTGTCTTTGGTGCGCAACTCAACTTTATCTTCATCATATATCAACTGTGCATCTGCTTTGTCAATCATGCAAAACTGACAGAATTTGTTTGCAGAGAAATTTTCAAGGTAGCCACAAAGTGAACGAAGTGCCAAATTATCTGCTGTTAACACACAAACTGTACCATATAGTTGATGCCTATAACCTTTTAAATCCACATTTAGACCAGAATTTTCAAGAAATCTTAAGTCATCAAGAAGTGGTTGCAAAATCTTGTCAAATCCATATACCTCCCTGTCAATTGAGTTGAACAAAAGACACAGGTGAATATTTGCAAGTGAGGAATTCCACTCTGGTGGCAAATTCTTCAAGGTAAAATAAACAGCTCCTAGCTTATGTATTTTTGTCTTGGAACCCAAAGGATTTGTTGTTTCAAGGTCATCAAAGTAAAGTTGTATTTGAAGAGCATCAGGGTACATTTTAAACAATGGGTGTGAGGAGAAGTGAGAGCCATCACAGTAATCATGCATTTTGCCATCTGTGTTCTGCTTATTCTGAACAAAGAGGTCCTGTATGTCCTCATGTTGAAATAAAAACTTCAGTGTTTCAATGACTGATACATACTGGTATGTATCTGCTGCCAAAACCTGTTTCATCTGACCATTTTTTCTTACAGTATCTGACCTGTGACCCACAAAAAATTCCTGTGGTTTAACAAGGGAAAATTTCTCAGTGAAGTATTTGTTCGTTTTATATTTTGTGTCTACATCTTCAAATATGTTTTTAGCACTTTCAAACTCCTTCATTAATGCTTGAACAGCCTCATTGTCTTGTGGTACATCCAAGCTACTCAACAAAGAAGCAGTTGACTGTTGCAAACTGTCTACAGTTTTCTCAAGCAACTCCTTTGTACAGTTTACACTTCTTGTAACATCTGTTAAAGTAATATTTGATGATGCATACATCTGTGCCACAAAAGAAGCAGCACATTCACCAAGATCAGTATAATTTCTTAAGTTTGACACTGCACCTGCTACATCACTGGGCATCTCCAAAACATCAGGAACTAGATCATCAGTTTCAACTGAACTGTTTGATGTCTCTCCTTGGTAAAAAGGTTGAACTGAGACAGCATCCGTTGAAGATGGTGTAGAATGAGATCTATGCAGATGCTTTGAAAATGAATTCAAGTTGTAATACGTCCTTGGGCAGCCATCTTGGCTACATATAATTTTCAAGTTTTGTCCGTCTGATAAGCAGTGTATTTGACGAAGATGCCAAATGAGGTTTCTCACCTCTGTGAACACAGACTCTCTACACTTTGGACAGGTGAACATTTTATTTGCATGCTTTAATCTGAGCAATCAGCTCCAGTACTTTGGTTTTCCTTTGCGTGGACAGCGGCAGGTCATAGACAAACTCAAAGAAGGTGAAGACAGAGCCAAGTGATGCTGGATAGGACAAGTTACATACCCAGTACAGTTTGAAAAGTTTATCCACAGCACACGTCAGGCCATCATTCAGAGGAATGGTTACTTTGTCATTCTTAGCAACAATGACGTACTGCCTGGTTGCACTCTTTAGATCACCGATGCATATCAGCTGGGGTTGGTGTGTTGTGGATGATGCTTCAGGATCACTGCAAAGTGATGCAATACTTGTTCCAGGCTTGGAGACAGGGAAGACAACAATAGATTTTTAGAGAAGTAATCAGTGAGGTTTAGACAAATGCTTTCCTCAGGTAAATACCGTGTGAACTTGACTGAACACATACCAGTGCAAAATCAATCAAGTGCGTAATAGCTGATTTAAGGCTGCAACGACTGGCACCAACTGGTGGGAGCAGATGTGTTAACACTACAAGGGCAGTGTAACAAGCCTCATCTAACAAAGAAAAGCAAGATGCAAAATTATTCAAAATACAGAAATGTGTTATTCAATCAATTATGAGATGTACAACAAAAATGACTGTCTTTTGTGAATGGCTGAAATCAGAAATGCAGAGGCTAAAGGCACCTCATTTGGCTTATATGTGCAGCTAAGATGGTTGCCCAAGGCCACATAACTTAAATTCTCTTTACAACCATCTCCATAGACCTCATTCTCCACCATCCGTAAACATAAACATATTCTAACCCATTTACCAGAGGGTGGCATCTAACAATTTCTTTAAAAAGAAAAAGAAAAGTAAAAATTTCTAAACCTTTTTTGTATAGTTTTTATATTCAGTTTTTAACATCCACTTACTTGTCATCTAAAGACACTAAGGAGAACTATTAATTTGATCATCCTTTTCTTTCTTACTTTCTAGTGGTAAATGTGAGGGAGGGGTTTGTGTTTATGGAAAAATACCTTCAGTCTTCTCTTCAAAATCCTTCAGCAGAGAGGACATTCTTGTTTCCAGGGCAGCCACTGATCTGAGTTTTGGAATGATACTGGCTTCCCATTTTCGTAAAAAGAGATCCGTCTTTCCTCCTGTAAGCTTGCCAAACTCTAAGTCCAGCTTACATAGAGGAGAGGAAAAAAAGTATGAAAGTTTAAAATAAAGCACAAAATGCATGAAATGAAAAGTACATTCTGCCCACTTGGTAGTTGTATGGCTAAAATCACACCTTACAGTATCACCTACAAAGAATGCTAAAACATTTCTGTTACCCACTTCCACATCAAGCTTATGTACACAGTGAAACATAACCATTTACTTGGAGTGGTATTTGAATACAAGTCCATTATTCCCTCATTTTTGCTCTGATTGGGGTCCCATTAGACCCTGAGAAAAACATTTGACTTTTTAGCTGATGTTCAACTTTCCAGCAGCCAATTTCTTATTTTATCTGTCTGCTGTTCTTCTAAGATTTTGGATAANTACAGCCATTGCTCAGCACCACTCCTCAGACTGGTAAGACTGAAAGTTCAGTGGTAGCTACAGAAAGTCTGGTAAACTCCTCCAGCAAAGGCCTGTTTGTTATCGGCGAACATTCTGAAGTTCTCGCGTTTTTCAGTGTCGGTCGTCCCGGTGGCTGGGCTTGGACCCCGTAAGACGATCTGACATCTCCCGAACTTGTGGGGTCAGCATATCCGCCCATTTAAAAGATCGGAAACAAAAACAGGAAGTGACTGGGGGTGGGGGGGGGGTGGGTGGCAGAAAGCTCCCCGCCACGGCCTCTGCCGCCCCACTTTACAGGCCATTAGAAATCAATGTGCCGTTTTTTGAATTTTTAGGACGCTATTGTAGGTCGTCACACAAAAGCTTTTTTATCAGACTCTTAATGTAACCCCCCCCCACCCCTCCAGCCCCCTCTACTCCATACCGTGGCCACCACCTTTTTTTTCTTCCTCTCTTTTCTCATTCATTTATTCCACTGTGTGGAGAGAGTCTGGGCAACAATTAATTTCAGAGTGAATTGAGCCAGGATCTATTACTGCACAGTGCTTCTGCTACTCTAATGGAAATCTATTTCACTTCTCTTTTGTGTCCAATATAATTTAATGCCCATTTTATTAATGGCCTGAAATAATTACGGAAGCCTTTTGTGATTCTTAAGTATGTTTCATTTAATTGTACAATAAATGTCTAATCAGGGCCTCCATCTGAAACTATTATGGCATTAAAATTAACAATTATGCCACAAATGTCTCGCTGAATGCGGCGGGGTCTATAGAAATCGCTGCCGATAACGGGACACATATAAATCATTCATGAGAAATATCAGCCCACCCCCCCGAAAAAAGAAGAAGGAGAAGAAGTGGAGAGATTGAGGGAGAAAATGAAAGGGGTGAAAGAAGAGTGATGAAAAAGTGGTGAAGAAAGCGGGCTGTTTAAGAGGCTCCCCACCCACCAAACTTCTTTTCTGACTCTCGTTCTTTTCTTTTTTTTTGAAATGACACATTACTTTGGGGGGAATCAATTAACAGTCAACAGTCAACATGGAGGCTAAAATGTCTATCAGCCCAGTTTGATCGGCGTCTCCGAGCCGCAGTGTGAGCTCTCCGCTTACTTGACCTCCTCCCCTGTTCTTGGACCTCTATCCAGGCAGGACAGTTTCTCTATAGTTGCCGAGTGCCTGAATTTCATGGGGAGGGGGTGTGGAGGGGTGGTAAACTCAGAGTTGTCCCCTCCCACCACCCAGTCCCAAGCTAATATCCCACAATTGGCTTTGGTGAATGTATTTTAATGGTTGAATGTTCTTTGCCTTTCCTGTTTGGTATTCAAATTATCCAAAGGGAAATAACAGCCATTGAGAGGCCTGGATTATTTTTTTATTGTAACTGGTGGGGAGGGGGGTGGCACATTCTGTTGCTAGGGGCCATAAAATTGCATAGCAAATGTGTGGGAAAAAATATATTTTTCCCATGTTCCCTTCCCCCCCCCCCCCCCCATTGCCCTTTTGCTGGCCCTCATTAGGTGTCTTTAGCAGTGTCAGGTGTGCTTTTCTTCACGGACGGCCTGCGACTGTTTCACTCCACAAGTTTCCTCACCACGGCAATTCGGAGATTTTCAGCCGATCGACTGCCTGTCAAGAGGGGGCGACTGCTGCACGGGGATGTTGGANGTAAGCTTGCCAAACTCTAAGTCCAGCTTACATAGAGGAGAGGAAAAAAAGTATGAAAGTTTAAAATAAAGCACAAAATGCATGAAATGAAAAGTACATTCTGCCCACTTGGTAGTTGTATGGCTAAAATCACACCTTACAGTATCACCTAGAAAGAATGCTAAAACATTTCTGTTACCCACTTCCACATCAAGCTTACGTACGCAGTGAAACATAACCATTTACTTGGAGTGGTATTTGAATACAAGTCCATTATTCCCTCATTTTAGCTCTGAGTTGGGTCCCATCAGACCCTGAGAAAAACATTTGACTTTTTAGCCGATGTTCAACTTTCCAGCAGCCAATTTCTTATTTTATCTGTCTGCTGTTCTTCTAAGATTTTGGATAACGTGAAAAGTGATGCTCATTGTAATAAAAGCCCAGTGAATAATGATCCAACTCTGAAATTATAAAACTTTCAAAATATTCACTAGGAGCTCATAAAAATACCTCCAAATGTATCCACTCCAGTTACATACTTTGTATGCAAAACACAACTGAGTAGAGAAGGAGTACAAAAGCCATTACCAGGGAACCAAGCAACTTACCAGACTTGGCACGTCCAAAAACCGTGGATACTCGCTCAATATTTCAGCAACAGTAGGGGAGTCCTTGCTAATCCAGGCTCTGCGACTGTTGTATGTTTCCTCCATGCCTGACATGATAGCTGAAAGGTTCTCAGCTGAGGGCCGCAATCTTTTGATAAGGGTGACCCACTCATCTGTGCTGCTGGTATTCCCATCCTCTCACCTGAGCTTCTTGTCTTCACTGCAGTCATCTGTCACTTTTCGCTTCCTATAACGCCTCTGCCCCTGTTCGAGATTCCGTCTAAGGTTGCGCAGTTTAGTCTCTAGGAATCCACAGTGACAGACTGGATCATAATAATGCTCCTGAGGAAGAAAGGACATGTCAGTGAACAACACTTCCCAGCTCTCCTCAGAGGTATATGGGTCACAGCTGAGCAATTTTAACTGAGAAAAAAAGCTCTAATAAATAATGAGATAAAGGTTAAAAGATATACAGTTATCAAGTAGGTGAGAACGAGTAATTATTATAGTACGCAGTGGAATTTACATTATTAAAATGCTAAATTTACTTACAAATCCTTCCCCCTGTCCTGCCACTTGGACACTCAGGGATGGAAAAGTGGTGATGATGCTTTTTGCTACAGTCAACTTCTCTGCACTATGAGGGTAACTGGAAAACAAAGGTACCCTTTCTTACTTTTGTGCACTTCAACATTTTTAAAGGGAAACATTCATTGCAAAATTTTAACAAAGTGCAGTGAGGTGCTATACTTACTAACCACACCTCTCCACCAAATCCCCTATGCAAGTCTTCACAAGAAGCTTCCTCGATGGGACTGACAGGGTACCCGTAGTCTCATACTCCTTAAGAATCTGTGGGGCTTTCCTCTTAAGCAGTGACTTTAGGGGTTGACTTTGTTCTTCTGTGGTAGTGGTAGACTGTGTAAAGGCAACACCAGACACTTTACCTCTCTGCAGTAATCTTCAAAGTCATGACAGCCAATTTCCACAGAGTACAGAAGCATGAGTTTACTCAAAAAGCTGCAGCAGAAGGTGGTTTCTTAATCACCGTGATAATGATTCAATGACTAAAAGAAATTCTGAATAATATTTAAATTGATTTCATTCTATAGTTGCTACTTGGTGAATAAATCTGACCCTGACTAATAGTTAATAACTGTAAAAACACATTTTATGACTTAGGAAACTGGAGAAATGCAAAGTGTACCTGATTTTGACTAGTCTCCCCAAGAGAGGTTTCCATCTGTGGCCCTCTGGCTGACAGGAAGATATGGAATCTATCAAAGTCCTTAACGTCTACCTCACTGTCAACATCAATATATTCCATGAAATCAGTGTTATACTTTAGCAACCTATCAAGCACACAGCCCACGTGATGAGCTTGGCTTTGACCTATGATATCTTTGGCACTGCTGACATGAAGAATTTTTTTACAGATCTCTTTCTTATCTTTAAAAATGGTTACAAGGACTTTGACAGATTCTAAGTTGTCATGTGTGTGCTGAAAAAAAAGAAACACATGGCTAAGTAAGATAATTTGCATGGTCAAGACATACAATACTGCTGCAAAGTTGTTTTTGTTTTTTAAATA